GTCATTGAAAATGGAGGAGCTCTGGGGATCCCGGAGATTGTCGAACAATTCAACTCCAGGTCTGCCCACGCGTTCCCCCCCCCTTGCAACAGTGAGAAGTGCCGGGGATCAGCGGGTGCTTGCGACGCCATCGAGATGTCCCCCGATGACAGCGCCGCCGTCGCCGACGCCGCCTCGCGACGACGAACGCTGTTCGCGCAATCGAGACCCCCGCGAGGGATGCTGCGGGGGAGGACCTCGGATTGATATGCAGCTCCCGATCAGGAAGCAGCGCGTGGAAGGGCAGCGTGCCACCCCTCGTAACTCTTTTTCCGTTCCCAATCACCCCGACGCGCGTTTTCCCGTGCGCGGAGCATCGATGGCCGCGGCTGCGGGGCCGGATGGGCTCAGAGACGGGCTGTGTCGGGTGGCCCCAGAGGAGATGACGAGGTTTCCCCCCCCCCCCCCCTTGCTCTGCAAAGCCCCCCTCGCGGGACTGGGGCCGGGGGCCGCTTGGGCTCGAGGGCGGGGGGGCGGCCTGGTTCCACAAGGGGGCCAAGGGCGTTTTTCTCACCAACAACCAGAGGCACATTCTGAAAAGCCAACGCGATGGGAAAACTCTTCCATCGCTTTATCAGGAGCCGAGCCTTGCACGTGCTGCAGAACACTTTGCTGCTCGCTCAACAGGGAGGATTGCCGGATAGGTCGTGCGACGCCTTGTCTCGCTTTGGGGTGCTGCTGAGATTGTCCGACATTGCAACGCTGCTGCGTTGTCTGATCTCTGACGCCTTCTACTCTGTCATCCGACAGTTCGCGCCTTCTCTGCCTAGCTAGCAAGAAGATGTGGCGCACATGTTGGAGAGTTGCGACGTCCCAGAGGTCTTGGTTCACGCCTTCTGACCCCTGCGCTTGAGGAAACCATGGATCATTTACATAGTTTAGAACTGCTACAGGAAAGCCAAACATGAGCCTTCTGCAAGACCGAGGTAAGCCAGGGATGCGTTAGACCTCGAACGGAGTCGCGACCTGGGACCATGCCTGCCACGGATGTTTTCAACCTTGTTTCCAAACGTGTTCACAATTTTGTTGATCGCACCATGGTGTCAGAGGATCTCTATTGGAATCCCCCCCCTTGGAGCAACGGTTTGCCGCCTTAGACAAGCCTGTCTTGCCCGGCCCACCTCTTCCTTTGTCGATGGCATGCGCATCGTAGATGTTGCTCTCTCGGCCGACAAGTTGCTCTCTCCCGCGCAGAGGGCGCCTAAGATTAGCTGTTTGCAGAGTAGGCGTGCGGCTCAACCCGGACAAGAAAATTGCCGCGTTGTGTTTCAGAGGTAATTGTTCTCGGGCTCAGAAACCACAAACTGTCGCTTCGCGCGGAGGACTCCGCGCGCGTCGCTTCCCCCAAGTGGGGAGTTCGCGCGCTGGCCGTTGCTTCCCGCGAAGTTCTCGGTGTCAGAGTTGCCCAAGACGGCTCCATGGTTCCTGAGGCCGCTGCCAGCATAGCCGCGCCTCGCGCTGCGCTTAGACCCGCGAAGGCCGCGGCGGCGCCGGGGGGGGCCTCTTCCGTTCGGGCTAAAGCCGTCCATGCCGAGGCCGTGTCGGCCACGGTTCTTTTTTTCTTTCCGCTGTTTGGGGCCGTTGTCGGCCGATTTGCAGGGGAAGGTCAGTGCTGCTCGCGCGGCTATTCATCGAGTTGCCTTACACTTGCCGAGAAAGAACAATGCCGAATCTCGTCATTCGCACAAGCAGGTGATGTCGGGTGTCCAGAGGCTTCCACGGGACATGGTGCTCGCGGTTGCTAGATTCAAGTACTTCGTCAGGGTGGCTGGCCCCGCTAGATGGCCCCCCCCTCTGACGCGACTTGGGGCCCCCCCAAGGCATGCCCCCCCACCCTTGGTCTAAGTTTTCGAGCGGCTCAACAGACGCGCCGATCCTTCTCGGAGGCCAGAGGGGGACATCAGTGAAGGATGGGTCGCCCGTTTTCGCTCGAGTCGTTATGATTTCCGCTCTGCTGTTGCTGCTGCTTCTCAATTTGCTGTCAGAGCGTGGAAGGAGGAGTGAAAAGGAGAGGCGCGGTGCCGACAGTCGCGGGTCATTGCGCGGGGGTCCTTTTTAGGTCGCCCCCCCCTCTTTTCTCATGTCCAGTTTCTCTGCTACGAGTGCGGTTTCTCCCCACGGCAGCGGAGTGGCCACGGGGCCCAGCAACGCAAAAATGCTTCTGTCCCGGAGAGACAGACTGCTGGATCCCGGTGCTACTGGCGCCTCACAGACTTTCGCGATAATACTCGGTTGGTCAAGCACATGCACCGGAAGGCCCGTCGTTGGCAAGGGTTTTTTGGCTGGAATCATTCGCCCACCCCTGGAGATGCTTTGGCGGTCGTTGAGGAACGACGGAAGGTTCAGCGTGAAAATCGCCTCAAGGGCCTTCATGACAACTATGCGGCTGAACCCGCCAGGAAGATTGTGGCCCCCCCGCTTCCTCCTGCTGCTTCTGCGCCGCTGCCGCCCCCTGAGGCGCCCGCGGTTCCTGCTTCTGCTGTTGCGCCCCCGCCCATTGTTTCGGGCCCCGTTTTCCCATCCGAGGCAGGTAGTGTGATGCATCCTGCATCTCTTCTCTGGGCATCGTCGGGAAGGGGGCTTCCAGGCCCAATGGGGTCAGCTCATGGAGCAGTTTCCCGTGCGTGTGTGTGTGTGTGTCCTCATCATTGATGTCGCTGATAACGCCGAGGGAGGGGACCTCGCTGACCAGACTATTGTCTCTCAGTGGCTCCGGCTCATCGCGGAAGGCTTTGTTGTTTGGATTCTCAGTGGCCCCCACCTTGCGAGACTTGGAGCGCGGCCAGGCATCTCGAAGCTGACGGTAGTGAACGCCCCTCCCGCCCCCATCTTTCCCTCCAGCACCTCGCGGGGCTTCCTCATGTCAATGCGCGCGAGGCTCGTCGGGTCGAACTGGGCAACGCCGTGTTAAGAACCATGATTCTAAACCTTGTGCATGAGATCCCGTGCATCATGGAGCACCCCGCCCACAGCCCTTCTCAACCCCCGATTCCATCGCGTTGGCATTTGCCGGAGATCGCTTCTCTTGAGAGGCTGCAAGGAGTGCAAGTGGCGGACATCGACCAAATTCAATTCGGCAGCTGTGCGCTGAAACCTGCTCGATTCCTCTCTGTCCATTGTCCCGCCTTGCGTGAACTCACGGACTGCCGACAGAGGAGGGGCCGGTGCGAAGTATGCGCGCATGTAAGCCTTAGGGGTCTTGGAGGGAGGAGGCAGTGGACAACTGCGCAGGCCAAGGTATACCCCGAGCAATTTTGTCGCTTGCTTACCTCTGCCATGCTCTGTGACATCCATTATGTGACTCCTTGTGTCCATGGCTCCTCAGTCGATTGGTTGCTCCATGATTGGGAAGCGGACTTTTAATCCCCCTCGACCCCTCCATGGTCCATGCCATGGCCAGCGACCGCATGGCTCACAGGGACAGACTCAGAGAGACGCCCCCTTAAGGGTGCGCGGAGGTGGTGCTCGGGTTGCGGGTCTTGCGCCCCCCCCTCTCTTCCTCAGCACTTGCGCGTGTTTCATGTTTTCCGATTTTTCTTTTTGCTTTGCTTCATCTTTGTACAGGTTACGAGTTCACAGCCTGCCGACCGACCGACCGACCGAACGAAGAGAAGGAGGAGAAGGAGGGGGGATAAGGAGGGACGCGGAGGGAGTAGGAGGGAGGAGAAGTGGAAGGGGACAGCGCCATTGCGCCATCATTCGTGCTAGGGGGTCTGCCATAGGTTGCGCCATAGCTTCAGCCATAGGCTGTGGTAGGGACCCCACGGGCAACCACGTCGTCAGCTTCCCGAGTGGTTATGTCATAGCTCGCACTATCGGCTGCGCCAGCCTCCCCGCGGCGCCGTCCGCTGCCTCAGCGTTTGAGACGCAACTTACACCGTGGGCTGCGCCGGACGCCCTGCGGGCAGCCAGCCCATCCGTTGTTCAGGGGGTCTACCATGAGTGGCGCCCGACACCTGGCGGGGAATCAAATCGTCGAACGCACCAGTGTGCCAACCGTCGATTGAAGTTGCATAGAAGCCGCTCACAATCTCCATGGTGTTGTTTACAAAATAAGTTGTTGGTCAAATTCTCGTGAAGGAAATTTCAATGCGCGACCCCAGAGGTCCCGACCCCCTTTCCCATGCAGAGGTAGTTTTCTGGTCCCGGATCCATTTTCGATGACCCCGGTGCCCGATAACGTGCCCCAGAGGCCGAAATCGGAGATGCAAAATGGTGGGATTGGACAGCGAATGCCGTCGGATATCTTCTGCGGGAGGCTTGTGTGCACCGTGTTGGCCTTTCCCGAGATGTCGTCGATCCGCGACCCAGGAGTGGTGTGGTACACAGCCGAAAAACGATGCACCGTGCCGCGATCTAATGGGGCCGGGAGGGAGTCCAAGCATGGTGCGGTGCATGGGCGACTTTCTCGTACCAGAGGTCACAATCGAAAAGAACTGGGCATGTCGCACGCGATGTTTCTATCCCAACCCCCAACTTTTCGACGATCAATGACGCAACTAAGAAAAGGAGGGAGACCCTGGGATACACCCCCAGGACCTCAGGGTGCTATTCGGACGCCTCCCGATCGAGCATGGACGCCCCCCCCTTCGTGTATACCAGAGTTGGGCCCAACAATTCTGGTCCATCCCGGAACCCCACGAAGCCTGGGATCGGGGTCGACATATCCCCTGTTACAGTCAACGCGCCTAGTAAGGACGCGCGCCTTCATCTAGGGTACCCTCGTGTCCCTGCCTCTGAGGCCCGTCCTTGCCATTATCACTGGTCGCCCGCCGCCCTAAAACACCCAACTTCGGCCTCCAACGGTCTTGCGTCCTTATCACCCGTCCTTAACATACGTTTTGACTGTTAGCGTGCAGCCAGAAGTTAGGGCCTACCTCGTGCCAGCTCTCCGCGAGCGCCGCTGCCGCTGCCGGGCCGAGCGGGAGGGGGGGTGGGCGCGCCCGGGCCCGCGCGCGGAGGTCCCGTGGCGGACTCCCGGTCGGCTTCTGCGGAGGCGATGGGCGAGAAGCTGGGCCGGGAGGTAGGGCTACACTTGGTGTGTGTGTGTGTGGTGCGTGTGTGCGTGTGTGCGTGTGTGCGTGTGTGCGTGTGTGCGTGTGTGCGTGTGCGTGTGCGTGTGCGTGTGCGTGTGCGTGTGTGTGTGTGTGTGTAGGTAGGTATTGGTTGCTTTCTTCCTGCTACGCCTCGACGCCACGCGCGAGGCCGCGACGCCAAAAAGGGTGTCTATGTGTGTGTGTGTGTGTGTGTGTGTGTGTGTGTCTGTGTTGTGTTGTAAGTGTTGTGTGTGTGTGTGTGTCTGTGTCTGTGTCTGTGTCTGTGTTGTGTGTTGTCTGTGTTGTGTGTGTGTGTGCCTGTGTTGTATGTTGTCTCTGTGTGTGTGTGTGGGTGGGTGCGGTTGTGCGGGGGGTCATCTGCCACCACTGTCCGCTCCACCAGGCGGTCCCTCCCGATCATCTGGCCCAGCTCCTGCTGGCCCCGTTCCTCACGCCTGGCCAGCACGGCATCCTCCCTGCGGCGCCTTCCCCTGCGGCGCTCGGCCCGCAGCTTCCCTGGCCATGGCCGCCGTGCGGGGGAGCTCGACGACTTCGCCCGCCCGTCGGCGGCTTTCCCGAGGCCTCTTGCGCTGGTTCTCTCTCCTGCTGCGTATCGCGGCCCCCCGCCTCGTGCCTCGCTCCAGCGGGGCGGCCGCTGGCGCGGCCGGCCAGCCACACCCGCTTGGCTATGGTCCTCACCGGCCGCTCGCTTCGTCCTCGCGCGCGGGACGCCCCGCGACGGGCAGCGCTCTCCCTCCTCGCTATCCGGGCCCGGATGGCTGCGCGTGCGCCTGCGCTGCGACGGCGCCGAGCGCGGCGATCCAGAGCGATCCCGCTCGAGGGCCCGTTTCTGCGCGCCTGCTCCGCTGCTCGGGGTTACTCCGCCTCGTCGCCGCGCGCGAGGCCGTTACAGCTCAAAGTGTGTGTGTGTGTGTGTGTGTCATGTTTGATGCTTGTGTGTGTGTGTGTGTGTGTGCGAAAGTGTGATTCGCGGTGTATGTGCACATGTGCGTATGCTTGGAAAATGCGATAGTGAGGTCTCTATATACACATGTGCACACGTAGAGATCTAGGCATGTGTGCGCGTGCTGCTTTGCTGCAGGCTTCCTGGTCATTCGACTAGTAGCTACTTTGATATACAGTCGACCCGCATGGTAAGGATGGGCATCCTTCCCAAGGATACCCTTGCATCCTTCCATCCTCGGTCCATTCTTGGCCGCTTTCGTTGGCCACGCCCCGCTCGAGAAGCTCCGAGATGGGCTTCCGAGGCCCTTGCATCCCTCTCGTGCATCTTTATGGTACGGGTCGACTGTATCGGCGGATGTCAGTCGGAAGCTGGGCGAGGGCTGCTAAAACCGTGGCTGCTAAAACGGCCCTCCCGGAAGGAACAAACAACTTCCCGGAATGAGGCGCGGCACGCGAAACAGTCAACGGGCTCCTTCCCGGAAGGGCGAAGGCAACCTCCCGGAGGTCGATCTTAGCAGCCACGGATTGAGCAGCCCTTGCCCGGCTTCCGAGTCAGGGGCCCCCACGTGTTGCCTCTCGGGTGCGGCCCTATCTCACCTGGCCCCCGGGAGCGCCCACCTCCCCCTCGGCCCAGCCGCGGCGGGGAGCAGCGGGCGAGGCAGTGCCTGGGCCTCCCCTGGCCCGTGGGAGCCGCGGGCGCGCCGCGGAGTGCGTCGCCCTCGAGTAATCAGCCTGGCCGTCCGATAACTAGACAGACTGGTTTCTCTGTTCGTTGCTCCATTCCCCCCTCCTCCTCCTCGTCCTCCTCCTCCTCCTCCTCCTCCTCCTCTTCCTCCGCCATTTTGGCCCAAGTGCCATCAGCGGCAGCGTACGTCCGCGGGCACCTGGGCGGATAGCCTCTCTTGAAGGGGCATTCTTGGGGTCAAGCCCAAGCGGACACCTTTTCTTTTGCGCAGGGGTTCTCCCTCCTGGCGCTTCCGCCATGGAGGATTCTGCAGTCGTCGCCCAGTTGACTGCAGTGATTCAGAACACGGTGAAGGGTTTGCAGACGCAGCTCGAGGCTCGTTTCATGTCTGTCGAGACGAATGTGAACACCCTCACCCAGCACATGGGGAATGCAGAGGCCCACATCACCGCCATCAACAACCAGATGACCGAGGTCATGAAAAAACAGGTTCGACAAGAAGAAGAACTACGACAACTTCGTGCTCGACCTGTGTCTTCGGCTGCTTCCACATCCTCGGGGGGGCAGCAATCATGGGCTTCCAGGCTGGTCAACGACGAGGGGAACAAACGTCGACGAGGAGAAGATGACACTGGCGGAGATCCGACGACCAAGTTCATAGGTCACTTTCCTCGCCCAGTCCTTGAACGTGTGCGCAGGAATCACTTCGACAGCCCCAAGGCGCAGTACCCTGACCTCCTGGCCAACGTGGAGACCAAGTTCCTCGCCATTGTCCAGAGCTAATCCATCATATTCCAGAACAAGGATGACGCCAGCCAGTTCCAGAGGGAAGCCAATCGTGCTGGGGTTGTGTGGACTGATCCGAGATCTCAACTCCCGCACCAGCTTCGTGTACGCGCTGACCTCCCGCAGCCCGTTCGCAACAAAAAGCGAGCATTTCACAAACTTTGGCTCCCAGTTCGAGACCTCTTGCAGCAGTCGTACATGTGGTCATCAGAATGTCAGCTCGGCATCGATGGCTTCCGTGGAGTGATGAGGGTGAAGAATGACATTGATGTGTGGAACCTGATAGAGATCAAGCAGGTCAGCATCCGCAACGGCGAAGAGCAGTTCAATTTCGAGCCCAACTTCGAGGAGCTAGAGGAGTGGGGCATCACCAGGGAGACCATCAAGACCCTGATTGAGCCCCAGGCCCCTGCTGTTCCCGACAGTGCTCCTGATATGGAGCTCTGACGCCCTCTCTCACAGTCAATGAGTATGTCTCAGCGTGCAGTGCCTTTGTACAGCTCTTCCTCCTCTTCCTCCTCCAGCTCTTCTTCTACTTCCAGTACTTCATCTGACTCTGACTCCTACTCCGAGACCAGCTCTAGCGTGAGTACCGTGGACGAGCGCGATTGTTCTCCGTATGTTCCGAACCAGAATTTCTCGATTGTGACGTGGAACGCGCACGCTGTATTTGGATCCGTGTGGGGGAGTCATGACATGCAAGCTCGTACTTATAAGTGCGTGGGTGATCCTATGAGTGCGCACGACATTGTATGCGTGCAGGAGACGCACGGCACGCCCAGTGATGTCACGTCGCTTGAGAGGGGTCTTAAGGAGCACCTCCACTTTGGCAGCTTCTGCTCTGACCAGCCTGGCGCTGGAGGTGTAGTCACCAGTGTGCGCAAGAGTCTTCGAGAGTCGCGAAGGGGAGAATCACGTCCTTGGGATTGTATGGGCCGCAAGCTTCACTCCAGATTATCAATGTTCATTTTGCCCCTGGGCTACCTCACGGTGTTCTTCTGGACCAGTTTAGGAGAGTGAAGCGTGCGATGTGGTCACCAGTGACCACCGCTGTTTTTCTTATCGGCGATTTCAATTTTCTCGAAGCAGGCGACACCAGGTACTCTATTCTGGAGGATATGGAGCGGTATGCGCCGCCTCGCTTTGCGCTGGAGTTTCGGAAGTGCTTCCCCTCTCTGCTCGAAGTCGCCCCGGCCACCTTCACCCACCGCGTGAAGACAGAGGAAGTTTTTTTCGCTGGCACGCTTAGACAGGATATACACTAGTTTACCTGCCGCAGATATACTCGACTTGGCTCCTGAAAGTTCCACGTGTTGGCCTCCTACTGACCTCGAGAAGCCCTCTGATCATGCGCCTCTGTATCTTAAGCTACGTCGTCCTGATCATGGGTCACGCTCACACAATATCCCACCTTGGATTGCCAGGCACCCACGGTTTTACGCACATCTCTCTGCTCTTCTTCATCCTTCTGATCTTTCCGCCGACCCTAATGAACGCCTTCAGGAAATAAAGCAAGTAATGAGACATGCTGCAGTTCAAGTTAGATTAGACGTGCTCCCTGGCGGTGCTACCACCGATGAAGAGCGCTTGGCGTGTGCATTGAAGCTACTACGTGTTGCCCGCTCTTTACCACCCCAGGCCTGTCCTGATTCCTGTCCTGCTCTTCTTCGTCACCTTCTCGGTAAAGCTAAATCTGTTCTTCGTGCTTATCCTGGACTATCGCAGTATTATTGTGTCGCTTGGGGTGAATTGACAGACAGGCTGGGGCTTTGTTCGCAAGTCAGTGAACTGACGCGACGTGTGCTTGCTGCCGAGGAGCGAGGAGTCGCTGCGCGTGAATTAGCGCCATCTAAGAAAGACCAGCATATTGCACGTATTCGCAGACTTTCGCGAGCTTGGGCTAAGCATAAGCCGAGGATCTACCTCGCTGCTGTTTTTGACGACGACGGGTCTGAGCTTAGCGAGGATTCTGCCATGGGTCTGAAGCTGTCTGAGCATTGGGGTAAAGTGTCCTCTCGGGCCCCTTGTGATCTCCAGGGTGCTTCCAGGCTTCTGGGCCTCATCCCGACCCTCCCCGACGACCCCTACCAGTTCGCCAACTCCACCCACCAGAGGTTCCCATGGGTCCTAACTGAAGATCAGTTTTTCGACCTCCTCAAATGCAAGGTCGACTCCAGTCCAGGACCCGACGGCGTTCCATACAGTGCATGGCAGTGCCCGCTCCCGATTATCAAGCAGGCCCTCTGGGAGCATTACCTCGCCTTCATGAGCGCCCAAGTCCTTGCTAGCGATTTGAACTATTCGAAATTGGCTTTCCTACCGAAAGGCGCGAGCGTTCCTGGAGCAGTGGCCAAGGCGCGTGGAGACACGCGACCGCTTGCGTTGAGCAACACTGACAATGAGATCATCTCCTCCTGTATCGCGTATCCCATTATGCAAGTAGCCAAAGATAAACTACACTGTGTACAACGTGGTTTTATTTCGGGTCGGTCGCTCGCGGACAATATAATCGAGTTTGACGGTCGATTGATGATGCGGCAAGCCTTGGATAATTCGCAGGCTGCTGGAGGCGCACTCTTCGACATGAAGAGTGCTTTCCCATCGGCGCATCATTGTTAGCTATTTCTTGTACTGCAGCGCTGGCGCCCCCCCGCTGTTCCTCCTTAACTGTATTAGATCGCTCTACGAGCGGGTTTGGTGTAGTATTTCGATTCGTGGTTCTGACGTTGGAGGTTTTTGGGCTACTCGAGGAGTTAATCAAGGTGATCCCATGAGTGGACTGCTATTCGCGTTCGCCTTCGACCCTATTCTTCGCGGAAGTGCTGAATTAGGAGTTTCGCGATCGGCCGATCCTACTGCATTCGCCGATGACCTCGCCGTTGCTGCTGCTGATCTAGTCAGGGCGCTCCCTCGGGTTGTGGAAATATTAATGGCCGCAACGCCGTGCTCTGGCCTCGCACTCA